CATGATGTCTCTATCAAAAAATGCCAAAAAAATTAGTCAGATATGGTGATGCACACCTGCAGTCCCAGCTAGTTAGTAGGCTGAGGCAGGAGGATCGCCTGAACCCAGGAGATGGAGGTTGCAGTGAGCTGAGGTCACATCACTGCACTTCAGCTGGGCAACAGTGAGATCCTGCTTTAAAAAAAAAAAAAGGCTGGGCGCAGTGGCTCATGCCTGTAATCCCAGCACTTTCAGAGGCTGAGGTGGGTGGATCACCTGAGGTCAGGAGTTCAAGACCAGCCTGGCCATCATGGTGAAACCCCATCTTAAAAAAAAAAAAAAAAGAAAGATGTATAAGACCTGCATACAGGCCAAGCACAGTGGCTCACGTCTGGAATCCCAGCAGCACTTTGGGAGGCTGAGGCAGGTTGATCACCTGAGATCAGAAGTTCAAGACCAGCCTGACCAACATGGTGAAACCCCATCTCTACTAAAAATACAAAATTAGCTGGGCTGGGGGAGGGAGAACCTGGAATCCCACGTATTCGAGAGGCTAAGGCAGGAGAATCGCCTGCACCCGGAAGGTGGAGGTTGCTGTGAGCCAAGATCATGCCACTGCACTCCAGCCTGGGCGACAAAGCAAGACTCCATCTCAACCAAAAAAAAAGAAAGACCTACAAACAGAAAGCTATAAAATATTAAGACAAATTAAAGATCTAAATTTAAAAAGATGGCTATTTTGTGTCAATAGATTAGAAGATCAATATTAAAAAGATAGCATTTCTCTCACACTAGCCTATAGAGTAAATCCAATCCCAATTAAAATCCCTGTTGTACATTTTTGTAGAAAACATTGCCAAGCGGATTCTAAAAATATTTGAAAATGCAAAAGGCCAAGTTTAGCTAAGGAGACCTTGAAGAATAAAGGTAGACCATTTAAATTACCAGAACTCAAGATAAGCGATATCTACGGTAACAGACATTGTGCTATTTGTGCTAAGATGACAAAAAGATCAATGGAGCAGAAGAACAGACCCTACAGTCACTGGTATAAGATGACAGAGATGACACTGCATGTAGTACACTGGGGAAAGAATGATCTTTTTAAGAAATTATGCAGGGTCAACTAGGTATCCACTTAAAAGGAAAAAAAAAGAGAGAGAGACTTCTGACCCCATTGCATACCATAAAGAAAGTTAATTTCAGATAGAGGATAAAAACATAAAGTTTTCAGAAGACAGTGTAGGTTATCTTAATGAACTTGACCTAGCCGATTTCTTAAATAGGACACAAAGGGCATTAAACATTACTGAAAAGATTGATCAACTGGGTTACATTAAAAATTTAAAACTTCTGTGCATCAAAAGATACCACTGAGAGCATGAAAAGGCAACACAAGAGTCTAAAAACGATCTGTCATGCACATATGTACTCAGAATATATAAAAACTCCTGCAAATCAGTGAGAAACAAAACAGACAACCCAACCAACAAACGGCCAAAAGATAACCCTTTCACAAAACACATCCCGGTGGCCAGTGAACTCTCGCAGAGATGTTTTACCTCTGCATGTTCCTGGCCATCAGGGAGCAGCAAAGTCAGAGCATACTGAGCCACCTACCACTCAACAGCCACCACAACAGCTAAAATTAAAAGACCCAACAATACCAAGTGCTGAACAGCATACAAACAGCTGACTTCTCATACATTGCTGGGGTAACACAAACTGTCACAACCGACACTTTTTTATCTCCTGAGGCTGAGCAAATACACACACCATCATTTCTGCATCCCACATCTTTCTAGAAACCCAACAGAAGTTTATACATATCCTCCTGCCTGGGCAACATGGTAAAACCCCCCCTCTACAAAAAATACAAAAACCAGCAGAGGGTGGTGGTGCGTGCCTGTATTCCCAGTTACTTAGGGGGCTGAGGCAGGAGAATCGCTTGAACCCAGGAGGTTGAGGCTACAGTGAGCCAAGAGATCATGCCACTGCACTCCAGCCAGGGCAACAAAGAGGGACTCTATCTTAAAAAAAAAAAGAAAGAAAGAAAAAAAAAGAAGTTTATACCTATGTGCACTGAAAAACACAAATATTAGGGGAGCATTTGTAAAAACTGGAAACAATCCCAAATGTTTGTGAGCAATAGGAAGGATAAATTCTGGTCTATCTGTGCACTGTATTACCAGAGAGCAGGTGAGAAAGAGCATGGCTGTATGAGAACACAGCTAAATCTTTGGTCAGGCACACACCTGTAATCCCGGCACTCTGGGAGGCTGAGGTGGGTGGATCATGAGGTCAGGAGGTCAAGACAGCCTGACCAAGATGGTGAAACCCATCTCTACTAAAAATACAAAAATTAGCCAGGCATTGTGGTGCATGCCTGTAATCCCAGCTACTCAGGAGGCTGAGGCAGGAAAATTGCTTGAACCCGGGAAGCAGTGGTTGTGGTAAGCCAAGATTGGGCCATTGCACTCCAGCCTGGGCTACAGAGCAAGACTGTGTCTCAAAAAAAAAAAAAAGAAAAAAGGCTGAGGCAGGAGAATTGCCTGAACCCAGGAGGCGGAGCTTGTGGTGAGCCGAGATCGCACCATTGCACTCCAGCCTGGGCAACAAGAGCGAAACTCCGTCTCAAAAAAAAAAAAAAAAAACTTTAGGAGGCCGAGGCAGGTGGATCACGAGGTCAAGAGATCGAGACCATCCTGGTCAACATGGTGAAACCCCATCTCTAATAAAAATACAAAAAATTAGCTGGGCATGGTGGCACATGCCTGTAATCACAGCTACTCAGGAGGCTGAGGCAGGAGAATTGCCTGAACCCAGGAGGCGGAGGTTGCGGTGAGCCGAGATCTGCACTCCAGCCTGGGTAACAAGAGTGAAACTCTGTCACAACAAAAAAAGAGAGAGAGTACAGCTGAATCTCACAAACAGATACTGATGACAGGATGAATAAAGAAAACATATATATTATTCTACTTCACTTAAAGCCAAGAACGGGCAAAAGTAATCAATGGTGGAAGGTCAAGACCTTGGTTAGCTTTGGAGGGCAATTATGGGAATAGTCAGGAGGGGACTTGTAAGAAGACTGGTCATGTTCCATTTCTTGATCTGGGTGGTGGTTATGCAAGTGTGTTAACTCTGTGAAAAGTCCACTGAGATGTATACTCATTATCTATGAACTTTTCTGCTGTATGCTATAGTTGTGTGTATTTATAAGTACACTCTGACTTGCCTCCACAATGTGCCAGGAGCACAAATGCACTTACTGGACTCATTATCTGGTCACACCACCAGCTGCTAAAGATGAACCAGATTCCAGGAAAGGGAAGGGTCCAACACAAGTTTACTTAATAGTTTCAATTTTTGAAAGGCGAATCGGGTGCTCAGGTGGTGACATGAACCGTTGGCATCGTCGTCTTATCCGCAGCACTAGGCAATTCCAGGCTACTATACCGAGCAGTACCAGAAACAAATCACTGGGCAACCATGTCACCAGCGTGTGACAACCTCCAGAGCCTGAGACTAACTGTACAAAACTCCTGTCACTTCCCTGACATTTCCTGTGTGCCCATTCTTTCCCAAATCCACCTTATCATCACATTAGTATTTGATATACACTTCAATACATGTACCTTAAACTACAAATACAGTAAAACATAAATAGGCTAATTATTTCAACTTGTAGTAATAAAATGTGACCTAAATAAACTTGGTAATCTCTAAAATCGAAATGAGAAAATTCTTAGTATTTCTCTAACCCAACAAAAAGGAACATATAGTGCTAACATCAAATTATTGTTGCTAAAAAGGAAATCCACATTTGGCTCATCAATCTTTCAGGAGAACTGACTACAGCCAAGAAATACATTAGGGCTAGTAATTATTCATTTGTTAATTTATCACTGCAGACCATCATGCGAGTATAAACGTATGAGTATGTAGGTCTACCTGAATGCACCACAAAGGCACCTATGATAAGTAACATGGCACCCAGATGGCTCTGAAACACCTAAGTAACCCACTTCTCTCCTACTACGCTCCGTGCCACCCACCTCATACTTTTCTAGTTTTTAAACTTCCTCCGTTTACCTACAACTAAATAAATCCTCATTCAACTCCATGAGCAAAGTCTTTCAAACACTGGTCCAAATGTAATATACTCAGAGAATTCAGTTGTTCTAAGCTTTAAAAACTTTTTTTTTTTTTTTTTCTGAGACAGTGAGACAGGGTCTGGCTCTGTCGCCTAGGCTGGAGAGCAGTGGTGCGATCTCGGCTCACTGCAACCTCAGCCTCCCGGGTTCAAGGAATTCTCATGCCTAAGCCTCCAGAGTAGCTGGGACTACAGGTGTGCACCATCACACTCCACTAATTTTTGTATATTTGGTTTCGCCATGTTGGCCAGGCTGGTCTTGAACTCCTGATCTCAGGTGATCCGCCTGCTTCGGCCTCCCAAAGTGCTGGGATTACAGGCATAAGCCACCACATTCGGCCTAAGCTTTAAAATTCTAATCTGCCAAGGAAAAAGTTCCTAAGGAATCAATCTCCAGTCTTCTATCCCCTAAAACAAATGTGACTTACAAAAACCTAGGTGTTCTGAAAAAGGTGGGCTATCAAAATATTTTTCTCTGTGAAATCAATCCTATCTGTCCACGAAATTTCATTAGGAAATTAGAAATATATGAGAGACACAATCCACGGGAAGTACAAGTTTAGGAAGAAAAGGGTAAGACAACAGAGCAGAGGCACCACATAGAATTGCTGCTTCAGAGCCATTTTTCAAAAACTCTGGAGAACTTCCTGAACCCAGGCCGTTCCCAAAGACAGGAATGAAAATAATGAGGTCTTTTCACAGGACTTTAGAGCACAACAGTTTGTTCTCCCTAAGAGGTTTAATCCCTAGGAACTTTGTATTTGACTTACAAACACCAGAAACCATCATTTCACAAATCGTTACGGAAAATGCTCATCTGAAACATTAACAAAACATCCACAGAGTTTCAGGTTAAAAGCACTCGTACCTGCGGAAGTGCCGTGTTGAGCTGTCTCTGCAAAGAATCTCTTTCATGACCAACCTCGTGTAACTTCCCCTGGGTTAATGCCAGCGTTTCTTGAGTCTCTCTCAGTGTGTCAAGAAGACGGTCCCTTTCTTCCAGCATGGAGACCATCAACTGTTCAAAATGTGAATCTGCGTCTGGCTGTGAAGGGGAGCCGGACCCATGGCTTCCGCTTCCTCCAGGGGGGCCTTCTGCTTCGCTGATGGTCGGCATCACCTCGCACATCATCTGGAAATCAAGGCCCCAGGCTACGGTCACTAAGTGCGAATACGGGTTCCCACAATATCTGTAGCTAAAAAGATGGGCAGCCTCATTATTCTCAGAACTGTTATGCTTTGTATGTAAATAAGCTGGGAACACACACACAGGGCAAATATTACGTGCAGAAATACACAACATGAAGACATCAACACAGACAAAAATCCGGGGTGGGGGGGGAGGTCAGGATCGCAGAGGACTACCCTCATACACACACACACAAAAAGGCAAACCCTGGTAGTCTGTTTGCAAAGCTGTACTTTTTCGTGAAAAACAAGTGTGCTTCTGTTACCTATTTTTTCTACTTCCCAGTGGGGGAGAGAAAGTCAGAACCCATGTCACCCAATCATTTTTCAGGAGAAGCACAGAAGGAGCATACAGCCAGCAAAACTGACAAGAACAGAATCCATCAGGCAGCTTGCAGGAATGTGTGCAGTCAGCTCCCGGGAAGATCGGACGGCTCCCCGAATTCTTGGGCTGGATTTGGTGAGCACGGAAAGGAACTGAATTCGTTATCACGCTGGGTAGAAGTGTGTTTTTCAATGGCTGCAACGGTTGGTCAGTCAACCTAACTTACGTAAGTTTACAACCGACAAAAAAAAAAAAAAAAAAAAAAAAAAAAAATCCACCATGGAAATAGAGCAGGTCGATACAGCCGGGGGCGGCTAGGAAAAGGAGGAAAAGCGAAAGGTGAGACGATGAGAGACTATGAAGTGTCTGGAATATCAAGACGGCGGGAGGGGAGGGGGACGTCGCTTCTGAGCCCCTAGGAAGTATTCGGGGTGCGGTGGACCCCCGAGAGGAGGATGCCAGGACGGCGCACCTGATGGGGATGGTAACCTCCAGCCCGCTCGCGCCCGCACTCCTTCCCCTCCTGCATGGGACACGGCGGGAGCCCGGGACCCCCGGGGTGAGGGCCGCTGACACGGGCGCCCGCCGGGCCGGGGCTTCCAGCGGCCGCAGGTCCCCGCCCCCCGCCCCAGCGCCAGGGTCACGGGGCGCCGGGCTCGGGCAGGGGCGTCGCGCCGTCCCCGGAGCCGTCCCTCGGGGCGCGGGGGTCCCGCCGGAGCTCCCCTACGCCTCGCCCCCGCCCGCCCCGGAGCGCACCCTTCCCCGCCGAGACATCCAGCCGGCCGCGCGGCCGCCGCGGGGGACCCGCCGGGGCCGCCTGGGCCCCGAGCCTGCCTCAGTGTCCCGCTCCCTTACCTTGCTCGCCGGCGGGAGCGGACGAGGAGGCTCCGAGGCGGCTCGCGGCCGGCTGCTCGCTCCGGGCGAGCTCGGGAGCCGACGAAGGCGGCCCGCGGCCGGCGTCCGCCTGCCCGCCCCGCGCCGCGGCCCCGGGGCCCGCCGCCCCAGTCACTAAGGCCGGCCCGCGGCCGGACACTGGCGGAGCGGAGGAGGAGCGGGCCCGGCTGCGCGGCGCCGGCGTCAACGTGCCCGACGTCGGGCGCGTCGGCGCGAGCGTCAGCACTGCCCCGGGGGCGGGGCCCGAGGCGCACCGCGGCCCGAGTGCGCAGGTGCCGTCTCCTCACGAGGGGGCGGCCGGCGGCTTCAGGGCGCTGATTGGCTGAGCGCGACGGGAGCCCCGCCCCCTCATGCCCCGCCCAGGTCGGGGGGTGGTGTCCCCGGGATGAGCCGCAGGTGGGCGCTCAGGTGCCCGCCGGGTCAGCGTCTTCCTCCGGGCGTCGCCGGTCTCCTCCCACGGCTGCGGGGACACCGGAGGCCTTCGCCGAGCGTCAGTCCGCCGCGCCTCGGGTTCTGAATCGTCCCTCCCGAGCTGGAGGCGCTGGATCCGCATCTTGCGGCAGAGCGAGCCAAGGCTTCGGCCCCCGCCCAGGGGCCCGGACCGCGCCCTCCGCGTGGCTCCCAGAGTCCCCCCGGGCCCGATCTGGGTTCGGAAGGACGCGCTTCCCGCCAGGACCCGCTTACGGGGCGCTACCTGCCGCACCTGGGGACGCCCCGGCGCGGCGTCCGGCGGGCGGGCTTTGCCGCTGTGGTTTCCCGCCGCAGCGAGGGTCCGGTGGGTCCGGGCGACTCGGGAGACACGCCTGGGCTTCAGCGCCTCCGAGGTGGCATGGGAAAATGATGGAGACCCACCTGCCAGGCTGCTGTAAGACACGAATCAGATGTAAGGAGCGACTCGCCGAGGAGCTGACGGGCGGCACTGCGCGGGTCTTGGTCGTTTCGTCTTTTCCGCAAGCGTGTTTAAACACCTGCCATGGCCCAGGTCCTGGGCTGGATGTTGCAGACGCGGAGGTGAATGGAGACACGGCTCATACATTTAGTAAATGACAGCGGATGCTCTCCCGATCTTCCCAGGATTTGACTCGAGCGCAGCTCTGCACAAACCAGCATGTCAGGAGACCATCGCCGGTCTCCACGGGCCACTGCTGTGGGTGTGAGGCAGCCAAGAGCCCCTCAGAGCGAATCAAGTCTGAGAACAGGCTGCATAGGGGCTGGGAGAGGGAAACGTGAGCCCGTCCGAGGGGCATTCCTTGATTCCACCTTGTGAACGCACGGAGAACCAGCCCCACCTCCGACTGACTTTCTCACCTACCGGGGTCTGGTACACCTGCCATGAATTTATTCGTTCATTCAATAAATATTTATTGACTGACTACATGGAAACATGAATTTGTACTTTTTGCCCCTAGTTTCTTGCTATTTTAAACGTGTAATGGCCAGGTGAGGCCAGGTGCAGTGGCTCACACCTGTAATCCCAGCACTTTGGGAGGCCTAGGCGGGTGGATCACAAGGTCAAGAGTTCAAAACCAGCCTGGCCAACAGGGAGAAGCCCCATCCCTACGAAAAATACAAAAAATTAGCCAGGTGTGGTGGTGGGCATCTGTAATCCCAGCTACTCAGGAGGCTGAGGTGGAAGAATCACTTGAACCTGGGAGGCCGAGGTTGCAGTGAGCCAAGATCTTACCCCTGCACTCCAGCCAGAGGCAAGGTGCAGTGGCTCACGTCTGGTAATCCCAGCATTTTGGGAGGCCAACGTGGGAAGATTGCTTGAGCCTGGGCAATACAGGGAGGCCTGTGTCTATACAAAAAATTAAAACTTAGTCCAGCGTGGTGAGCCAAGGCTGAGGTGGAAGGAACACTTGAGCCTGAGAGGTGGAGGCTGCAGTGAGCTGACATTGTGCCACTGCACTCTGGCCTGACTGACAAAGCGACACCCTGTCTCAAAAATAAAATTGTAAAGATGATCACGTAGATGACACATTCTGCAAGTACCCTGTACCTCTCCACACACCAACAATTCTCACAACTCCCACGTTCCCCTGAACCACTGTTTGAAACCAGCAAATTTCCAGCTCTCCTTAGGGGATACCTGCTTAATGTATCCAGCTTATGTTTGCACCATGCTCATAAAGTGTTTCCTAAGAAATCAGCACAAGACCAGAATTTAGTTCAGTAGGGTAGAATGTTCATTCATTTCATGAACATTTGTGGAGGGTGTATGAGCCAAACATAGCTTAGGTTTGGGGAACACAGAGCTAAGACATCACTTCAAGTTCGAGTTCACAGTCTGGAAGAGAGAAGAGAAACAGACTATTGCAACGTCTGTCCCATTAGCAGTGTATGACTTCCTGCTGTGGAATCACGGAATGGAGGAACCCACTCGCCAGCTGGCATCATGGGGGCTTCATAGAGGAGGCAATATCCAAGCTGGGTCTTGAATGATGTGAGATTTTTTCCAGCAGAGAAGGGAGACACCCATTTGGTATAGCTACAGGAAAGTGAGAATTCCAAATTCCATTGCTTTCCTTTCCCCTCCCTCCCTCCTCACCTCCCTCTTTGCTTCCTTCTTTTTCTCTTTTTTTCTTTTTTTTTGAGACAGGGTTCACTGAGTCACCTAGGCTGGAGTATAGTGGTTGGAACATGGTTCACTGCAGCCTCTACCACCCAGACCAATCAATCTCCTCACTTCAGCAGCCCCCCCACCCCCCAACCCCCCTGCCACAGACCACCATGTCTGGCTAATTATTTTGTATTTTTGGTAGAGACCGGGTTTCACCAGTGTTGCCCAGGATGGTCTGAAACTCCTGAGCTCGAGCAATCCACCCACCTCAGCCTCCCAAAGTGCTGGATTACAGGCATGAGCCACCTTGCCTGGCCCACATTCATTTTAATTCATGTATTTCATTCCCCCAGATTGCAAAATCAGTAAGAGGAAATAGTAAACAACTTAAACTGGCCAAGAAAACAAGATTGGTGACATTGTTGCACTTCCAAATGACAGAAAACTTGGGGATATTCACAGCCTTTTTTTTTTTTTTTTTTTTGAGACCGGGTCTTGCTCTGTCACCCAGGCTGGAGTGCACTGGTGTGATCTGGGCTCACTGCAGCCTCTACCTCCCGGGTTCCAGCGATTCTCCTGCTTCAGCTTCCAGTGTAGCTGGAATTACAGGCACCCACCACCACGCCCAGCTAACTTTCGTATTTTTAGTAGAGACAGGTTTTCACCATGTTGGACAAGCTGGTTTTGAACTCTTGACCTAAGGTGATCTGCCTGCCTCAGCCCCCCAAAGTGCTAGGATTACAGGTGTGAGCCACTGCACTGGCCCAGTCATATTTAGATAATTATCTATATCGTGATTGTGGTGGTAGTTATATTACTGTATATGTTTGTCAAAGAACTGTACTGCAATATGTACAGTATGCCTTAATTTTTATACATGTTTAAAAACTTTTTTAAAAAAGCAAATTTAAATGAGTATACATAATGTGAATCCCAATTTGAAAAATAAAAGTCTGTGTTTAGATTAAGAATGTATTGGCTGGGCGCGGTGGCTCATGCCTATAATCCCAGCACTTTGGGAGGCCGAGGTGTGTGGATCACGAGGTCAAGAGATCGAGACCATCCTGGTCAACATGGTGAAACCCCGTCTCTACTAAAAATACAAAAATTAGCTGGGCATGGTGGTGCGTGCCTGTAGTCCCAGCTACTTCGGGAGGCTGAGGCAGGAGAATTGCCTGAACCCAGGAGGCGGAGGTTGCGGTGAGCCAAGATCACGCCATTGCACTCCAGCCTGGGTAACGAGCGAAACTCCGTCTCCAAAACAAAACAAAACAAAACAAAACAAAACAAAACAAAACAAAACAAACAAACAAAAAGAATGTATTATGTAAAATTTATCTTGTATATGAGTAACTCTAGAATGTTAATTGAGGTAATAAATTTTTAAAATGAGTTTTATATGAAATTAAATATTTTTCAAAAGAGAAATTTTACGTTTTAAGTTATAAAAGAAAACACATATGTCTACATATGAAAATACTGTTGCTGTATCCGATTAGCTTTTTTATCTTTCCCCACTTCCCTCATATGTGTGTGTGGATCCTCCTGGAAGGAGACGCATCAGAACGGTAGCAGTGGTTATCTTTGAGCAGGAGTGTGGTTGGAGGGTACATTCCTTCATTTTGCTAATCTTCATTTTCCAAATACTTTATCATGAATGTGCGTCATTATTATAATCATTAGGAAAGCCTCCAATACATCTTCATTAAGATTAAATCTGAGGGCCGGGCTCGGTGGCTCACGCCTGTAATCCCAGCACTTTGGGAGGCTGAGGCGGGTGGATCACGAGGTCAATAGATCGAGACCATCCTGGTCAATATGGCGAAACCCCACCTCTACTAAAAATACGAAAATTAACTGGGCATGATGGTGCGTGCCTGTAATCCCAGCTACTCAGGAGGCTGAGGCAGGAGAATTGCCTGAACCCAGGAGGTGGAGGTTGCGGTGAGCCGAGATCGCGCCATTGCACTCCAGCCTGGGTAACAAGAGCGAAACTCTGTCTCAAAAAAAAAAAAAAAAGATTAAATCTGGATGAGAGAGAAGCATGGAGCATTGCTTTCAGGAAGCTAACAGGACGTTTAGATATAGTTACTCACACCACCCAACTGAACTACTTCCCAGAAGCATTTATCTGGAAAACATTATCCACGTTGCATGCTGTCTGCTGCCCAAGGCTCTGTCAGGAAAACAGTGAAGACAAAAAATGTTTTCACTCCATTTCTGTTAAAGGCTTGATAAAGAAAATACAATAGTAGGAGAGAAGAGGGAGCAGAGAGTGTATCACTGTACCTGGGGTTTCATCTTGCAACGTGGCTGCCGCGGAGCCTGCCAGCCGCTGCTGTCTAGAGGTGCCTGGATGATGCCATGTGTTGTCAGCCATGAGCATCACCCAGGACAGCACTCTAGAGATCCAAGCAGCCCAAGAAGGAGGTTCCTTTGGGGATGAGGGTGTGGCCCGACCTCAGTCATAGAGATCAGGATGTGCCCAGATCTACCTAGAACATGTAAAGCCAGGGGAAGGTCTGAGCTGGAGGAGCCCTAGGGTGGTGGATGGTGGAGGACGTGTCCCTTCCTTCAAGAGGAAGAAGCTGAAACCCAGAGATGCAAAACAGATTGACCCACAGATACTCAGAGA